TTCTGTTTACTTCTTACTATTATGGCCACAAACAGATGATCATTTTTACTGGTGGAAATTTCTGAGGGAAGGGGAGCAGTGAAGCAAAGCCCCCAGCCCCTTCCTCAAGCCAGGAAGTGTCTGGTTTGGGAAAAAAGACAGGGAACAACAAAGCAAATAACAATGAGGATGATAGCCTGTGGAGCAGGTAGGGAGCAGTGAGCAGCTGCTACTCTGCTCTGCTCCCAGTCTCAGGAAGCAGAACGGTGGGAACAGCAGGACCACCTCTGTCTCACTTCTCACTTTGCATCCTCTGGAGCAAAAAGCAGGTTGGGAGCAGCTAGTGGTTGCTCCTCCACTTCCTGTCTATGGGAGAAGCAGGAATACTGCCCTATGCCTTCTCCAGACAGGCTCCCATGCCTTCTGAAGACTGGGGTCACCCCTTTCTCCAGCAGCTCCACTCCTGGTCCCTAGGAGGAATTAGGCAAGGGGCAAGTGTACAGACATTCATTCTACTGGAAGAACCTCTCATGGGATTGTTTTTTATCTTGTTGTAGTCAGGTTATTTTTCTCCTGGAACTATCATTTTTGCTCTGAAAGAAAAAGCTGGAATGTTTGTATGCTTCTGATTTCTAATAGAAGAGTAACAATTCTTCCAGTAGAAACAGGACATCTGTATATGGCCTATAACGGGCTACCATGAAACAAGTTCTGATAGGGTTTCCTACAGGTGTTTCATCTGACTCCTATGCAAAACCTATATATTCCTTTCCTTTCTCATGTGTTTTTTGGTGATGTGGAATAACGTGTGAATGGAATCTAGGTGCAAAGCAGCAATCTGTAAGAAGCAGGGCAAAACCAGAGCACATGGCATACCTGCCAGCTAACATTCTTGCCTTAAGGATGCAATAGTTTTTTGTGTTATTCTGATAGATTTTGAACCACTCAACATTTTAGACAGAATTAATCATACTTACAGATTCATCTGAATCCTGTGCTTCAGATAGCTGGACAATTGGCTTCTTAGGAACTACTAGAAAGTGTACTGGAGCTTGGGGCGAAATATCATGAAATGCAATGCACTAGAGAGGGAC